TGGACACACACACACACACACACACACACACACACACACACACACAAATAAAATAAAATAAAACAAACAGACAAACAAAAAAGTATAGCAACAACAACAAAAAACAAAAAAAAGTGTAGCACATGCAACTGTGTACAGTATATAATACATGATAGCCTGGTGACTATAGGGCTGCTGTCATTCTCTACCAGACTGTTACTGGGTTCCATACTTACTATACTATGCTTTTCATTGTTATTTCAGAGTGTACTTTTTCTGCTTATAAAAGAAAAAGGTTAAGCATAAAACAGGCCCAGGGAGGTTCTTCAGGAGATATTCCAGAAAAGGACACTGTTACATGAAATAGCATCTCCGTATGTGTTATTAGGACAAGATGTAGAGACAGAAGACGGCGGTGCTGATGAGCCTGAGCCTGTGGAAGCCTAAGCTAATGTGTGTTTTTGTGTCTTAGGCTTTGGTTTTTTGTTTTTGGTGGAACTGGGGATTGAACTCAGGCCCTTGCGCTTGCCAGGGAAGCGCTTATTGCACTGAGCCATCTCCCCGGCCCTAGGCTTTGTTTTTACTTTTACTTTTCTCTTACTTTTACTTTTCTTTCACTTTGTAGTGGGAACTGAACCCAGGGCCTTCACACTAAGGTATATTCCTAGCCTTGGATTACAGACCTTGGCTATACCTTGTTTTTTAACCAAAAAAAAGTTATTTTTATTTATTTTTTATTTTTAAAAAGGATAAGAAACAGAAAGGAAAGCACAAGAAGCAGATCTAGGGATGGAAGAGATGAGAAGAAGGCAAGTGGAAGGGGAGTAAGGCTTATGATACACTATGTGTGCGTACAATTCCCCATTATATACCACAAATGTGGACTAATTAAAAAAATAAAATTAGGCTACATCATAGCATGGGCATGGAACCATTATTTCTCAGAATGTCTTTCCATCAAGAGATACATGAGCATGTAAATTTATACCTATCAGTTTAATATAAAATGAGATTTGTTATAAGGTAAAAAGGAATTTATTTTAAAAATTAATTTTTTTTTCAGTGCTGGTGTATAAACCCAGTGCCTTCACATTGAGCTACATCTGCATCCCATGCCATATTTAGTATATTAGGAATTTACCAAATTATTCTTAAGGTGCATGTAAGCCTATTTATTTAGCCATAATACTCATTTGCTAGATGTAGAAATTTGTTCTCTTCTTATATATTTATTGGCGGAACCAGGATTGAACTCAGACCCTTGTGCTTGCCAGGCAAGTGTTTATTCTACTGAGCTATCTCCCGGGCTCCTCGAATTTGTTCTTTTCTGATGTGAGCAATAGTGAGAAAAAGGTACTGGAGCTCGGTCAATGATTGAAACAAGTTTCCAGAACTTTTCACCATGCCAGGCATGGTGGCATTTTCCTGTAATCTCAGCACTTGGGAGGCTGAAGCAGGGGGATCAATACAAGTTCAAGGCCAGCCTAGGCTACGTAGAGAGCTCAAGGCCAGCCTGAACTTCACAGTGAGCCCCTGTCTCAAAATTAACTCCAAAAAACCCAAAAACTCCCCCAAAACATCTTTCTCCACAGAACTTACAAAAAGCATAAAAAATGAGGACACAGAGAAAAGAACTGGATGGAAGGGGATATACTAAGAAAAGAGAGCCTTGGAACAAACATATGGGAAATGTATCTTTCCAAGCTAGACAGTAGGGAAACTAAAGAGATGAAGGAATGGATGGGAACAGATTTACCTGGAGAGACTGAAGGGGGTCCGGTGGCAGCCTGGGTGGCTGTAGGGCTGCTGTCATTCTGTACCTGAAGACAAAGGCACATACTTAGACCCTGCCTACCAGCAAGCTTCTTGACTTGATTCCCCACCCCACTACCCCACAATCAGACAAGTAAACTCACAGCTTTGTTGGGTGCCTGCTGGGTGCTGTACTCTGGGTTGGGCTCACTGAAGTTAGGAACCTCAGAGTAAACCATACAGAATCTGCAAATGGAGAAAATAGCCAAAGCCTGAAACCTATCTTCTAGGCCATGCTGAAGGCCTTAGGAAAGCCCAAATGGAGGATGTGGACTGCACCCTCTTAGGCTTCCCCTTGCAAGCCTTAATGTTCTCTCCTTGGGGTGCAACTGCTTCATCTCAATCTGTGTGTGTGTGTGTGTGTGTGTGTATGTGTGTGTGGCACCTGGGATTGAACTCAGGTCCCTGAGCTTGCCAGGCAAGCGCTTATTCCACTGAGCCATCTCCCCGGCCCCTCATCTCAATCTTTAAGACAGCACTTACTCTCCAATCTTCTGCAGATCACCCCCACGACCAGTGTACAGTGTCAGACAACCTTTGAACACTGAAGCATACCTGTAGGGCAAGAAAGCAAGATTCAGAGTCCTCAGGAGAGTTACAGGAACTCCTACTTCCACCCCTCTTAACTGCTGCTCTTGGTTAGCCAGAAGCACTCCATGCCTGACCCTTTGGTGAGTCGGATAATATCCCCAGGTTGGATCAGGTTGCCCACGTCGTCCCAGACAGAAATATTGATGCTGCCAGTCTTGTCAGCCACTTTGCAGGTCCGAACCTCATGCCCGTCCTTTGTCTTGGTCACTCGGCCTGGAGTGCATAGATAAATGGGGTGGGAAGGAGGCCAGACAAATGGGGGTGGTGGCAGCTACAAGCGAGATCTGGGTATCAGTGGGGTTAGGTAAAAGTTGTAAGCCCAATCTGAGGGACAGGCGGGAGTGGAGGTGGAGTTGCATGCATGTCGACAGTGGAGGGGCCAGCACCATGGAGAGGGTCTCGAGTGGAAAGAGGCCTGCGTGGCCCTGGAGGTACCTTCTGGCAAGAGTTCTATTTGCGCTCTACCGGACTACACGTCCCGGTAATGGGATCTAAGACAGATGGGGAGTGAGCAGTGTCTTGGGACATACCCTGCCACTATCTTGGGAGCAAGTTAAGAATGCAGAAGGTATTCTCCCCTTCCCGACCCCCCCCCCAACACATCGCGGGAACACGCGGTTCCAGCCGAGTCACCTGTCTCCAGCACAATGAAGATAAGGTTCAGATTCTTCAGTCCAGGCTTGATATCCTTCACGAAGGTTTCCGTAGTCATGCTGCCCAAGCCTCGGTACCCCACTGGAAGGGGGAACAGGGGATGAAGGCTCAACGCTGGGAGCCATTGCTCCCATGCTCCACTTCCCAAGGCCTACCTACCAAACCAAGCTAGGATCGAGAGCCTCGGCCCTTCTAGCTTTATAGAAGGTTAGTAGCGAACTTCCCTGGGGACCTCGAACTTCAAGATTCGCATTTGGGGGTCTCTGGATGAGATGCTTCGGGACTGGAAGGCCCCCTGCCGGAATGCTCTTTCGGTCTCACGCTCCTAAGTAGGGAGCCGACGGAGACAAGGGTGGAAAATCCGGTGCAGAGCCACGGAATGGAATCTTACTCGCCAGACCTTCCCGAACCCTCATCCGCACGACCTGAGGCTTGGTCCATCTCCTCCCCCACCCACAGCCCACCACCCACCCAGTAAGCCCGCCAGACTGTGTACGCCGCTGAGCCACCCGCAGGGGGAGCCACAGGCCCTGCTGCCACCGGATGCAGCCCGGTGGAAACCCGTAGTGCGAACGTTCGCCGGAAGTTTCCCCTTGTGATCTCTTCCGACCAATCAGGATCATCCGCGCGCGTCCCGTCCCGCCGCCGGCCTTTCGCCCAGCCAATCGGACTCAGAGATTCACCAGCCGCGAAAAGGTGGACTTCGGGTATTAAAGGGGCCCGGGAGATGTTTGGCTCGAGGGTAGAGATGGACCACTGTGGAGCGTTTCGGGCACCAGTGTTTCTTTACAGTTCCTAGGAGAGAGGCCGGGGAGATGGCTCAGTGGAATAAACGCTTCCCTGGCTAGCGCAAGAGTCTGAGTTCAACCCCCGGGGACATAGCTTAGTAAATAAAATGCTTGCCTTGCAAGAGTAGGGTCCTGAGTTCAATCCCTGGTACTGCAAAAAGGAAAATAAAATAAAATACAGGCCTAGGAGAATGCACTTAGGCTGTGGTTTTCTCTCCAAGTAAGGACACTGTAGGAAAGGAGGAACCTAGTGAACAAGCTGGGATCTTGGCTCAGGACTTCATTTTGTTCGTGACATTCTTTTTTTTTGCGGAACTGGGGATTGAATGTTCATGACATTCTTAAAGGTGGAATTGCAGGGCCGGGAGATGGCTCAGTAGAATAAGCATTTGCCTGGCAAGCACAAGGACCTGAGTTTAATCCCCGGTTCCACCAAAGGAAAAAAAAAAAAAAAAGGTGGAATTGTATTTTACAGATGAAAAATTAGAACTTTTTTTTTTTTTTTTTTTGCGGAACCGGGGATTGAACTCTGGCCCTTGCGCTTGCCAAGCAAGCACTTATTCTACTGAGCTATCTCCCTGGCCCCATAAGTTTTTTGTTGTTGTTGTTTGTTTTGCAGAACCAGGGATTGAACTCAGGCTCGCTTGCCAGGCAAGGGCTTATTCTACTGAGCCATCTCCCCGGCCCTAAAAACAGAATTTATTTTTTATTTTTTGGCAGAACCAGGGATTGATCTCAGACCCTTGTGCTTGCCAGGCAAGTGCTTATTCTACTAAGCCATCTCCCTGACCCCTAAAAACAATTTTAAAAGACCGTGGTGGCTGTAATCCCAGCAATCAGGAGGCTGGAGGCGGAGGATTTGCCACGAGTGAGAGCAGCTTGGGCTACATAGTGAGTTTAAGGCCAGCCTGAACAACAGATCTAAAAACAAAACAAAACAAAACCACCACAAAACATGCTTTATATAAAAAGTAATTCCTATGATGCAGCAGGCAGGCACTTACAAGTTTTCTCTTTTCTCACTTGCTCCAAAGTTCATCTTTTTTTTTAAACACCTGCAATTTATTTATTTATTTTTTCGGAACCGGGGATTGAACTCAGGCCCTTGTGCTTGTCAAGGAAGCGCTTATTCTACTGAGCTATCTCCCTGGCCCCTGCAATTTAAATTTATTTATTTGGTACAGGGTCTGGCTGTGCAGCTCACACTCACATAGTGATCCTCCCATCTCAGCCGCCTCAGGCTGGGATTGCCGGCATGTACCACCACTCCTGGTTTTGGTGGCCAACTGGGCATAAGGTGATGGGGATCGAACCGGGGTCCTCGCGCTTAGCCAGGTACACGTTTAGACCTCTGGGCTATCTCCTCAGGCTTTCTTTTTTTTTTTTTGTACTGGGGATCCAACTCAGGATCTTGCACTTGCCAGGCAGGCACTTATGCCACTGAGCTATCTCCCTGGCCCTCCAAGCCTCATCTTTCTTCCTAATTTGGGGTCTTCACTTAGATTGCACTACTCTGTTCAGTCAGGGCTTCTGGGACAAGTGGCATTCACACCAGATACAGGCAACAGGCATACTCAACCTTCTTTGGAAGACTGGAGTGCAGGACAGAAAGAGCACCCTTTTTACCTCTCATTAGTTTGTAAGGCATCTTATCTCACTAGGTCTCAGAATCCTCTCAGAGGATGAAATTTAGACTAAAACATTTAGTTGCCTTGGGGATCTGTCAGACTGACAACAAAAGGTAGTTAGCTCTGTATTATTACATATAAGCCAATTACATAAAGATGTACTAATGTGCATTACATTTTGCTTAGTGAATACCCTTAGTGAATACTATTTACTACCAGATTAGCTAAAAGGTCTTGTAATTGCAATGCCTTGGTTTGCTTAATCCCTTACCTTCCCACAGAGCGCTTTAGTCTCTATTCAAGACTTCCCCCGAACCCAGATTCTCTCTCCTACCTACATCCCCAGCCACGACGCTGCCACCTAAGGAAACCAAACCAGAGGCGTTTCTCTCCGTTCTCTCCACTCTACCACCGTTTGAAGAGTCACGGTGGATACGACAGGAGTGTTCCTGGGAGACAGGCGGCCAATCCGTGAAGCACCTAGCTTTGGGGCGAGACACTCCTCCTCCGCTGGCTAGGGAACTGCACTATCCATTCTCATGACCGTGAGTCACTAGGTCGGTAAACTCGGAAAACTGAGTGGGCCAGGGAGGATGGCAAGTCGCACTGCACGTTAGCTGCCCTAGGACGATCGCACACCGCTGCGCACCAGCTCTAAGCCACCAGACACGTGAGCCTCTTCAAAGCGAAGAATCACTTTCCAGGGAGGTCAACTCCAGGCTCGCCGGGTTCACTCAAGCCGTGAAGAACATAGAGTAGTTCCTCCCAAATGGCTAGAGTCCAGGCTGGGACCATAAAGACTTCCGGTGCAGAGCGCAGGGCCGGCTGGCCCCAGGAGCTCCTTGTCCGCAGCCCACCGCTTCTAGTCCTGTGGCGTTTAGAAAAGAGGCGGGCTTGGTGACGGGCTTCCGCCGGGTTGCGTAGCAGCAGTGGGCGGGGCAGAGGAGCGGCCTGCGACGGCGGGGACTGGTTGGAACCGTCTTACTCCTCCTTCCCTTTCCCCTTCCCTTCCCGGGAAAGGCTGGGGCTCGGCCTCCGGGCTGTTCGGTGGCCGCCGCGGCCTTAGCTCCGACCCGACCGCGGTACGGGAGAGTCCAGATCGCGTCGGGTGGTGTGTACTGCGCCTGCGCGAGCTTCCACCTCACGGAGGCTGGGGCGGGTGTGAGGTCCCAGGGGGATTGAGGCGTGGGTTAGTGGTACTGGGGTTCGGAGAAGCGGTGTAGTAAAGGTGAAAAATGGAGTAAGGGAGCAGCGCTGGGGAGGAGTTGGGTGAGAGGGGCGCCCTTGAGGTTGGGATGTTGGGGAAGGTGTGCAGGGGCGCGGGAGACTTGAGAAGTGTGGGAGGGGGCCTGTGCCGGCCGGCGGCTAACGAGGAGCGGACGGGGTGGGGGGCGGGCGTGCTGTTTAAATGGGCAGTGATTGACGGGCCTGGAGGGGAGGAAGAGAACATTCCGGGGAACCTGAACCTCCGCCCTCAAAACGCCATAACTTGGCCCCTCTCCCGTGCCTTGTCTTTGGCAGCCTTGTCTTTCTCTTTCATTCGTTCCTGGCTGCTCTTCCCCTCCCACCCCTCCGTGAAGGAATCTCACATTCTTTGCATCTCTGCCCTTAGGGTACGCCTGTCCGGCCCGTACACTTCGCGCACAGGAAAGCCTGCTCCAAAGTGGCGCGCAGGGAAATCGGGGATGGGGAGAGGGCGGAGAAAGAGCCTGAAAGGCAGGAGGGATGAGAGCGTTTCGACTGGGGGCTTAGCAGACACCTTTCCCGTTAAGAAACTGACTTCGTTTCACCTGTAAGCAAACGTGGCTCTTGCTGAGGCCAGTGCTGTCGGATCCTAGTCTGTGATAGTCTTATCCCTTCCTATATAGTGACAGTAAGGCAAGAAGCTGATTGCACTGTTGGCTGCTCTTCTTCCCCTTAGCAGGAATGGCCGGGCTAGAGTAGGAATGTGATTTGAGAGTGCCACTACCCAGTGTCCAGTGCCCTTGTGGCCTGGCCTGGTTTCCAGTAATTGAAAAGGAGGAACAAGCTTTTTCAAACATTTCCTCTGTTGTCAGGAGTTAGAGGGTGAAGAAAATGGATAGATTACAAACTTTCAGTTATAAGGTAGATAAATTCTGAGGATTGAATGCGAAGCATGGTTGATTGTAGGTAATATTTATATTAATTTTTTGGCAGAACTGGGATTGAACTCAGGCAGGCCCTTGCACTTGCCAGGCAAGTGCTTATTCTACTGAGCTATCTCCCCGCCCCGATTATAGGTAATATTGTATTGTTTACTTATTTGCTGAGTAGGTCCTAAGCCTTCACGCATACACAGGTGGTAACAAGTGAATGTGTTAGTTACTAGTGGTGATCTTTGATGTTTTGGTAAATAGAACATCAACTTGTACATTTCATATATATATATATATATATATATACTTAAGAATTGTGTCTTAAAATTAGTGAGGATATGCAGAATTTCCTGTAGTCTTCTAAATTTACAGAATTTAGCTATTCTATTGCTAAAAGTGATACTTTACCTGAGGACAACAGTATTCAGTATACTTTTTATTTATTTATTTATTTTGTGTGTGTGTGTGTGGTACTGGGGATTGAACTCAGGACCTTGCGCTTGCCAGCCAAGTGCTTATTCTACTGAACTACCTCCCCAGCCCTACATTATCTCATTTGATTTGCAGGACAATAAGATTATAGATAAAGCAAGTGTCATTTCTCTACTTGGTAGTTGAAAAAACTGAAAACTACACGGGGTTATATGGCTTGCTTATTTTTGTGGGTTTTTTTTTTTTTGTTGTTTTTGTTTTGTTTTTTGTTTTTTTTGCGGTACCAGGGATTGAACTCAGGACCTTCTGCTTGCCAAGCAGGCGCTTATGCCGCTGAGCTAGATCCCTGGCCCTTGGCTTGCTTATTTTTATTTAAATGTCTTTATTAGTATATGTTTGTGATACATAATGAGTATGTTCATCATGGAATATTGGTACATACACATGTCACATACTGATCTTTTGTCTTCTCTCTTTTTTTTTTTTAAGACAGGGTCTTGCTATGCAATTAAGGCTGGCTTTGAAGTCACCACATGGCTTAGGTTGGCCTTGAACTCAGAACTCAGCGTTACTTCTGCCTCAACCTCCCAAGTGTTAGGATTACAGGCTGAAATCAGAGGCGTGCATGCGCCACTCTTCTTTCTTGTCTTCCCCTAGTCTCAGATTCTCTTCACATCCCCAGAAAGTCTGTTTCCCTGTTTAATTAATTAATTAATTAATCATGTAAAATTTATGTCTTTGGGACAGGGTTTCATTACAAAGCTTGGACTCCTCGTGATCCTCCTGTTTTCAGCCTTGATAGTGCTGGGATTACAGGCGTGTGACACCATGCCTGGACTTTATTTTATTTTTTAATTTTTTTAGAATATCTGAAATTTTTAATCCTTTCTTTACAGGTTACTAGATCACTTTTGATTAAGAAAACCGTAGAAAGTTAGTAACTGCCACAAGTGAACGCCAGGTGGCACATGTTAATTTCCACAGAGTCCTGCTTTGCGGGATGTCTGAATGCACTGCGCAGGGTCTCTGCTCACACTTGCTGGAATCATTTGTGGCAGATTTTAGTCCACAGGTTGCTTTTCCCCATATTTCTTTGTAAACTCTTCAGCATTCTTACAGAATTTTTTACGGTCCTTAGAGTATTCTTCAGCTAGGTCAGCCAAGAGCAGGTGCTCGGGCTGGGGGGTCATTCACCAGTGCTATGAGAGACTGGATTACTTGGTTGGTCTTGGTCGCTGGCTTCCAGTTCTCAGCACTAATTACCGGCAGGCAAACTTGCCCTTTTTCATCAATGTTTGGGTGATAGATCTTTGTTTTAAATGTGATCTTCGGTGGTTTGAATGGATACTCTGCTAGGAAGTTGATTTCAATTATAAAGGCCCCCTTATCATATGGAGGGTTGTCAGGAACAATAAGCCCTTGCCAAGTCAATAAATTAGCTTCATCAACCTGGATGTTACAGAAGTTTTTCATTCCACATTTGCGGATCTCTTTAAGCTCCATCAGCCTCCTTCTGGCCGCCATCTTGGATCTGGTGCTGCTGCTTTCCCCTGGACTTTATTTTATTTATTTATTTATTTATTTTTTTAATTTTAAATTTTGAAACAGGATCTTGCTAAGTCACTCAGTTGCCTGTGCTGGGCTCAAACTTGTGATCTTCCTGCCTCAGACTCCAGTAGTGCTGAGTTCACAATTTTGTGCTGCCATACTTCCTGGCTGCTTAAAGTTGTCTCGTTGATTGGTGGTAGAACTAGGCCTAGAGGGATAGGGATAAAGCTCAGTGGCACAGTGCCTGCCTGGCAAGAGTGAGGTGGTAAATTCAACTCCTGGTACCAAAAAAAAAGAAGACTAAAATCCAAGTCTTCTGACTTCTGTTCTTTGGCTCAGTTGAAAAACTATTTTGTTTTGGCTGAGGGGCCACTGATGTCAGATTGTTTTTTTTTTTTTAATTTTATTTATTTATTTATGTGTGTGTGTGTGTGTGTGTGTGTGTGTGTGGCCAGCTCAGCCCACCAGGGGGCGCAGCTGGCTGGCATGTGGTGCTGGGAGATTGAACTGTGGTCCCTGTGCTTTGCCAAGCTTGTTCCAAGTAGGTGCTTTAGACCACTGAACCATCTCACCAGCCTGTCAGATTGATTTTTCCAGTGTGGGCAGCTGTTTGTTTGCTGAAACTGAAACTTGTGTTTAGGAGGCTGAGCAGAGCCAAAAGCAGTGATTCCTATAAGCATTTCTGGAGGTACAGGTGCATATGCTCCAGAGATAGGAAAGGAAATAGTATTAGGGAGACATATCACCCCCTCACTGGACCACAGGGAAGAGGAAATGTGCCTGCCACTTGTCTCTTTTTTAGTATAAAAATACATTCTAAATATACCATGTCTGGTGGCCGTAGTAAATTAATAAGCATATGTACCAGACTCAGGACATGAAGGGGTCTTCTTTTTTTTGTGGAACTGGGGATTGAACTCGGGCCCTTGTGCTTGCCAGGCAAGTGCTTATTTTACTGAGCTATGTCCCCAGCCCCCCGAATCTTCGTATTATGTATAAAAATGATCATTATTGTTCTGACACAGCTCTTAAACTATTTTGGATAGGCCTCTCCTGATGAGGAAAGGAGCACGGTTTCTGTTCTGTTCATAGCTGAATAGCTCTCACAGCACCCTTTGTCTGAAGCCTTCTCTTCCTCTGCGTGGTTGCAGCCTTGTAGCGATGAGAATCCGCTCAGCCCAATCTTACTGGTCTCTATCCTCTCAGGTTGCCTGCCCTGGAGTAATTTCCTTATTGGCTCTTATTCTTTGTATTTTTAGAGCCTATCCCCTCAAGATTATTTCCTGACTTGGGAAGTAACATTGTATCTGTGACAACATTCATGAGCATCTCCCTATGAAATATTTATACTGGTGCATGCCTGTAACCCCAGCCCTCAGGAGGCTGAGGCAGGAGGATCACCTTGAATTCGAGGCTAGCCTGGGCTACATAGTGAGACCCTGTGTCAAAGGAAGCAAAACAAAAGGAATAATAATAAAAAAAATCCCAACAATTTTTTTTTAATTCAACTTTGTCCTTTTCTTCCCCCTCCTTTTTTGTTTGTTTGTTTGTTTGTTTGAGATAGGGTTTTAGGGCCAGCCAAAAAGCTCAGTGAATTAAATCGCCTGCAAACAGGCACAGAGGCCCTGGGGTTTGATCCCTGGGCCTGCCATGCCGACCTTGTCCCAGGGGCACGCTGAGAGGGCAATTGAGACTGGGAGTGATGGTGCATGTTTGTAATCCCAGCTCTTGGGAGGCTGTAAACAGAAGGATCACTATAAGTCCGATCTAATAGACCCTGAACAACACTGTAGATCCTTCCCTAAAATACAAAAAAAAAAAAGAAAGAAAGAAAGATTCATACTTTAGGCTGGCCTTGAATTCAATGTGTAGCCCATGCTGGCCTTAAACTCATAATGCTCCTGCCTCAGCCTCTACAGAGTGCTGGGATTACAGGCTTGAGCCACCATGCCTGGCCTCCAGCTGTGTTTGAATCTTTGGACCATGAGTGTGATCCTTTAGCCAGCAATCTCCCTCTTTTGAGGAAGGTCCTGCATACTAGCCCTGAAAGTTGTAAGCCCTTGAAGGAGTTGTCTCATATTCCCTGGCCTCTGGCCAGGTCCAGGTATTTCCAATCTTACTGCCAAGCAGAGGTAGCTCTCCTGACTCACCTTTCTTTTCTGTGTTCCTATTAATAGCATCCTCCTGATTGTGACAGCACTTCCCTTCCTTGGTGATGGAACTTGTCACTAGGGAGGAGGATGAAGTTGGAGCATAGCCAGCAAGATGGGTTTCTTGAATGAGTGCTTGAGCAGGACTGAGTGGAGGATTCAGGGGCTTGGAGCCTTGTGAACAGGGAACCCGCCCTCCAACACCTGGAAGGTAAGCGCTTTGATTTGGAATATGGCTCCAGGCTTCTTTTCTCTGCCAGTTGGGAGTCCTTCTGTCCTTGAAAACCAAATTTGTGAAATTCCTTCCTGCTGAAAGCTCTCTGCAATTGACTCAGATTCTCTTGTTCTTTTTTGCATATGTGTGTCTTGTATGAATTGTTAACTTGTTGATAGTTTGGTGTCTTTTTTTTTTTTTTTTAAGATAGGGTCTCACTTTTGAGATAGTTCAGAGTGGCCTTGAACTCATTGCCATTGAGCCCAGGCTGGCCTTGAACTAGGGATCCTCCTGCCTCAGCCTCCCAAGTACTGGGATGACAGGCATGTATGTACCACCATGCCCAGCTAGTTTTAAGTCTTTTAATGTTTCTTATCCTGTATTTTCACTGGGCTATGTCTTAGTCTGAGCATAAGGGTTGTTTCTCTTCTACATGTCTCTACTGGCAAGATGTTTGTCTATATGGGGGAAAGGTGAGGTTTGGCATAACTACACAAATAGTTGTCAGTGCTGGTGACCAAAGGGAAGGCAACTGCTGGCCTTTGAAGTCTGCAGGTCTACTTTAGGCACTGGATAAGATTTCTTTCTTTCTTTCTTTCTTTCTTTCTTTCTTTCTTTCTTTCTTTCTTTCTTTCTTTCTAACTGAGTGTTAGACCCAGGGCCTTTTCACTAGGCTGTATCACCAGACTTTTTTTTGGTCTTGAGACAGGGTCTTACTAAGTGACCCAGGTTGGGGGAACTTGCAGTACTCCTGCCTCAGTGCCTTAATGCTGGGATTACTGGTGGGTGCCACCATGCCCAGCTTGGATGAGTTCTTTTTTTTTGTGGAACCAGGGATTGAACTCAGTCCCCTGCGCTTGCCA